AGAGATAGGTTCACAATATATGGACAGATCATTCCAACTCCAACATAGGTTGCAGAAAAATCGAAGTAAAACCTGAGAGAATTCGCCAAGACAAAACGGTCATCCTCTTAATCTTCGAAAATGACAAAGCGCAGAGTTCAGGCTAATCCATGTTACTTGTTCTCATAAGCTTTGAGACCGAACGTCGGGAATGCTCTGAATCCGCAGTCTTTCCCAGCCGAATAAAACCACTGAAAGAATCCCCATAGGAAGCTACAGCCAAAGGACTTGCACAATGTCCCTACTTGTTCCCTGAGAAGGATCAGAGGTCCATGGAAACGTTAGAAGAGAAGCTACATAGAAGGGTTCTTGAGATCTCTTTACCCGGCCAGCTTTTCACCCTGAGGAGTATGGAAGCTATTGATGAGGTACGCAGTTGCAGTGCCACTTGGATAGATCAGCTTGTAGTCAATAATCATTATCTAAAGCAAGCTTAAAGTAAGCACTCCAAACAAGCATCGTAAGCTTGACAGGTTCATCGTTAGATTTGGACTCACCTTTCTGAGGGGAACGAGAGAAAAGAGCCCAAGAAAGCTGATGGCAAACATGAACCCGATCATCCATCCTAAATCTGGGTCCTTCGTGTTCTGTGAATCATTTGCTTCTGTTGCTTGGTTGGCGATCCTAGAACTCATGCCAAAGAGGTCCTTTCCGAAGCCGCCTGTTCACAAGGGAATATATATAGCCCCGTCAGGGATGGAGATAAACTGTAAGAACCATGCGGTTGAAGGGGAGCTGGCGGTTGAAGGGGAGCTGACCGCTGAAGGCGAGGCCGTAGGCGGCGACGACGGATGTCTGGATGACGGTGTTCTCCTGGCGGGTGAAGGGGGTGCGGAGGAGGCCGGCGTGCTCCAGGCCCTTGGTCCAGAGCTTGACGAAGAAGAAGCCTAGGAGGCCGGCGGTGGCGTTGAGGGAGGGGACGATGCCGGCGGTCAGGTTCAGCCTCATCGCGACCACGCTGAGCATCACCGACAGTACGAAGCTCACCACCAGTGCTCGCGCCGTCAGCTGCTCCTGCAACGGCGGCACCCGTTGCCCCTCGAACGCCCTCTCCACCGCTACCCCCTGTCCTCCCTCTCCTTCCTCCTCGTGGTTTTCCATCATCAGCTATTTCGCTGCGGTTTCCCTTGACGGAGGAGGAAGGAGTGTCTCGTGCTGCGTTGTGCTGTGCGAGTGTCGTCTTCCACGTTAGCAAGGACGAATCCCCTGCGGAACACGTTCACCTCTGAGTGCTCAAAAGCCACACAGGAATGACCACAAAGCTCCCCCTTTCAAGGTTACCTTCCAAGGCTGCAATCTGAACATGAACGAGTCTTTTCAGTCAGACATCCTTACAAAGAGAGGGTTTAGAAGACTGCCATATGAACGGGAGTGGATATGTTGAATTGACGAGAGGGTGCAAGCATTAATCAAATGATGGCTGGCATAAAAGTCCGGCTGTTTTGAAGCGACAGCTTCTGCAAGCTCTGACAAAGGAGGCGGGTGAAGTAGACGACAGATTCGAACTCGGACTTCAGCAACGCTAAGAGATGATATGTTAGTCTTCTTCTGACTGCTGAAAATTCTACATATGGAACTACTGCTCTATGGTTGACTCGAGGGAAGGCCACCATTTCGTTTGATTGCAAAATCCGAGGAGCTCAAATCACTGAGAGGTATAATTCAACTCAATTAGTTCGATTGCGACCAGAGCCGTCCACACTTTGGACATAGGGAGACCGGCGCACTGGTCACGGAACTGGCGAAGTCAACCCATGCATCTGAATCAGCCATCTGTGAGGCATTTGATCAAACGACTTCTCCGCCTCACCAACTGAAACGATACCTTCCCGATCTCGGGCGTCTTTATCGGCCGTCCCGACTGACAGCGGCTGGTCAAGATCGAGCGTTCACGACCGGCTCTCGAGTCGGCCGGTTCAGTCCTCGGCCCGACCGCTCCGGTTTTGGGAACACTTGCAGCGGGGGAATTTGCGGGGAAAGCAGTTGCAGAAGATTGGAAGCAAGATTTGGAGCAGTTCATCCTCTCTCTCTCTTTCTTTGGTTCAGATTCATATCGATCCAAAGTTCAATCTTCGTCGTCGATCACAATAAGAACGAGTGGATGCCAGTCAGACTGCACCAACAAATCAACGTGCTCCTCCTCCTTGCTTTCTTCTTCTTCCTGCCTGCCTTCCCGTTCTACGGTTTGCTTCTGCCGTCACGCCATGTCTCATGCCCTCGTTTTTGGCGTCTTCATAGGCGCCATTGCTCTCCTCGGTGTAGAGCTCCTCTTCTCTCTTCTCTTATACTACTGGATCTCGGGCCGCCGAGGACGAGCTCCTGCGTCGCCAAGGCGCTACAACTGCTGCCATGATTCCGACGACGAGCGCTCGCTCCCTGCCGAATGCAACAAGCAGGTCAGCTTGATGTCATTCGCGTCAAAGTTGTTTCTGTACGAGCATCATTCTGTGACATCTCTTTTTGATGACTCAGGGAATAGTTTGGGTGTTGGAAGCGGCAAAAGCAGCAGAGGTTGGCGGTGATGGTGGATCGCAAGCAACTGGGACCAAGGAGGAGGCGGGTGTCGTTGAGATCGTGGAGGTCTATCCCGTCCTCAAGCACGCAAAGATTAAGAACCACAAGCTGATCTTGACTGATCCCGACGATTCTCGCACGGCCACCATCGAGCTCTTGGATTGTGCTGTCTTCGCGGTCTCTGCTTCAGACCGAGAGACGCGCAAGTGGTGAGTCACATCCTGTTCCATGCGTTTCCTTCGTTGCTTCCTGGTTTCTTACATGGCCTCTCGAATTCATTCCTGAGATGTGGAACATGAACAGTCTCTTTCACTGCTCGCTGAATTATTGTGGATATTAGATTAGAACAAAAAGAGATTTTTTTTCTTCTTTTCTTTTGTTTGTTTCAGGGCTAACAGATATCCAATCAAACTGGAGAGCATGAACGCAGACATCTACCAGGGAAGCAGAACATGTTACGTATATCTTGATACTTCCTGGGAGAAGGAATCATGGTGTAAAGCACTTCGTTTTGCCTCCTGCCCTGACAAGCAGAAACTCAAGACTTACGCAAAATTACGTGAAGATTTCCAGCGATATGTTGCATCCGTGCCAGAACACCTTTCACCCCAGAAGCCATTGAAGCCACATTGTGATCCTTCGATCAAGACGACCAAGTTTCAGAAAACCACACGAATCCGACACTTACTGAACAGGTTTTCGAAAGGGGTGTCGAAGAACAATGGTATCATTACACCCTCTCTCGGAAAGAAGAAGGTAGATGACAGGGTGATCGCCAGGAATGGGGTCATTCTGATGAACGAGTTTCTAAACGCTTCATCCCCAGAGAAATCTTCTAGTTGTTCATCAGACCTGGTTCGATCTGGTTCACTGCCTCCTCTTTATTCTGGTCTTCATAATGCAGCCTCTGATGATAAGATTAACCGTGATGATACTGCCTTCTTCTGGAACTTAGTCCTTTCAAGATTGTTTTTTGATGTCAAAAGAAGTGCAGTGGTTAACAACTGCATAAAGACTCAGTTTCAGGTAAAACTGATATGATCGTCCCTTTGCTCACCTTTCATTGTTACAATGCTTATACTCATATCTTTTCTTGTTTGATCAGAGGACATTATCAAACATGAGGTTCCCAAGCTTTTTGGGTAGAGTGGAATGTTCTGGCCTAGACATCGGAGATCTTCCACCTTACATCCATAATGTAAAAGTTGTGAGCAAGGACATGAACGAGGTCTTGACAGCTGAGATTGATACTGAATACTCTGGTGGTATAACATTTGCATTTGAAGTTGGTCAGTTAGGATGCAGAGGAAGCAGCATGGACTCAAATCTGGAGCTGGAGTCTGGCTCAGAGATGGCTTTACTTCATTCTGAAGGACTTCAAAATAATGGAGAGCAAATGTCTGTCTTGGATAGTTCAGGTGATGGAGAAGAAAGGGAAGAAAAGGAAAAGAAAATTGGTGAGATTCAATGCATGACATGCTTAGTTCTTTGTTCTGTCTGATCACCATGAGGTAACTCAGCATTTTCTAATTGCTTTTGACATGCACTAGTAACATGAACTCCATTGGAGCTGAAGTTTGACAAGATGATCACATGTCGACATTGTGTGCTTTCCACCTTTCTAAGCGTAGTATCATTTTGCTTAAGACTTTAAAGATTGATGTTATTTTCGTTTCCGCACAATGTATTGGATAATTGTATGTATTTTCTTCTCTTTCATTTAGATGGATTGCCGACTGTCATCTACTCAACCAATTGCTAATAGTCCTTAGCATGTAGAAAGACTTACAAAGCTTCAGTCTTCCTTTTTCTGTCTCTTTTATGGATCACTTTCAAAACCAGATGTAATTTTTCTAGACCATAAGTCTCCAATCTTAAAAAATGCTTGTCGATTATTTTTTACTTTTTTTTCCACATAATATTCATTTTGAAACACAACCCATTTCATCTTTGCAAAGACATGTGAATGCACTTACTGGTGTTTACATGATGTGGATGGTTCTATTGCCTAACAGTGAGACAAGTAGATATGTAGTTATACAGACATAATATCCATCCTTTTTTTCCATTTTACTATGTTTCTGCATACTTAATTCAGATGAACCTGAGCAGCCGCAGAGCAGTAACTGGAGAAGTGTATGGTTGTCAACATGGAATTCCGTAAAAAATTCCGTTGCTGATCAGGTTTCTCAGGTGTGTGTATATTTTGTGTGCTGCATTTTTCTTTGATATTGAAAATTTCTGGATGATCATCTTGAAGCCATTTCTTTCCGAATATCCTCTGTCTTCTATTAAATGTATCTGTTAATGTTTACTTTCTTAATAGCTAACTTAGAAAAATTGTAAACAACAGTTGCTTCCATTTCCATCCACCTTTAGCATAGCAATGTGTAATTTTGGTGAATAACTGAGTTACCAACCATTTCATAATGCCCTGTTTCTTTTGGTACAGAAATATTTCACAATGTAAACAAGTCCCTTAGTTTGAAGATCGGAATTTATCTTTTTTTCTAGACTATCCATGTTTTGTCGATACAGTGCTGCTATCGAGTATGAATACTAATAACAAGGAAATCTAATATGATCCTTCTTATCAATTGTTGCATTTCTGTTGACAGGTGCCGATTATATTACACAGTAATTAGAGAGTTATTCTGTAGTCACCAGATTACCTGAGAAAACATCAAACTTGAAACATGTATATATATATAGCTTTGTCTGCCAATATAGTTGGATCTTTTGACCTCCTCTCTGTTTACTGATTTAAGCATGAGTTCTTATCGGATGTCAATGTGACCATAGCGGCTTGTAAAAAGCTTCAGAATCATTCTGGTTAGATGCAAGAGAATCTACCTGCTCTAACTAGTGAAAGTTTGAACTGCATATAACTCTGATGATTATAATCCATATAATTTTTTGTTAGCTTAAATCCATTAAGAAGAATCTTCTCTACCATTTAGCATAAATTGCTTTATTCTTTGCGTTCATTTTCGCAAGGTCATTTGATTTTTGGGTTGCATTCCGGTACTTAGCACCTCTCGACTGAGGTGAGAGCAACAAATTATTCTGTATCTTGTGGTTTTTGTTCGAGGTGATGCATGTCAAGAGTGAAGAACACTGTAAAGATTATACGGAAATTTAAAGTTCATGTCTTTTCTCGGATGAAGAGTGTGAAATTAAACTGTGGCTTCTCATTTGAAGGTTCCCCTGTCACTGTCAGTGAGGATTTCATCACTCAGTGGAACAATTCGCTTGCACATAAAACCCTCACCTTCCGATCAGCTGTGGTTTGGGTTCACATCCATGCCTGAGATGGACTGGAGCTTCGAATCCAGTGTTGGGGAGCAGAGGATCAACATTGGAGCATTTACTTCCATGTTCAAGAACCTCTTTGAGGTATCCTCCATCATCGCACTTCTCTGTGATCGTCCATCTTTCATATCTCACTTGTCCTCCTGCAGAATGCGATTCGTGGAAGTCTGGTGTTCCCAAACTGCGAATGCTTGTGCGTTCCATGGATGCTGGACGAGAAGGACAACTGGATTCCGGTGACAGAAGCACCATTTAAATGGATTAACCAAGAGACGCTTGCAGACGTGGTGGAGCTCAACCAAGAGACGCCTGTGTGTGCAGCAAAGCTTGAAGAAGAAGAAGAAGAAGAAGAAGAAGTATTCATGGACACGATAGAGCTCAAAGCATCAGAGCCGGATCAGCTGCATGAGGCCACTGCCTCTTCACAAACAAGTCCGTCCATCTCATCAGGTCTATTGTGCCTCACCCCCACCATAGGGAAGGAGGCGGAGATGCCAAAATCCGAAGAGTCACAGGAGAGCTGCGGTTCCACTCCGGTGATCACCCCGGGGGAGATTGTGCTGTGGGAGAAAACCGCAGCAGCGGCATCAGCATCAGCTTCAGCTTCAGCATCAACGACCTCCGAGGCCGAAGAGGATGCGAGCACTAGGAAGAAGCTAAACGTCAAAGGGCTGAAGAAGATGGTGGGGGAGACGATCGAAGGGCAGAAGCGCAGCATCGGGAACATGGTGGGTGTGTCTTTGAAGAAGTACGAGAAGGTCAAGATGCACAACATCTTTGGCCGCCATGCATCGACTGTAAGAAGCTTGCAGTGATGGGTTCTCGGTGTACTTATCGTAGGAATTACCTCCTGACGTACGTGTTGAGTTCCATTTCCTTTCCTTCCCTTTTCCTTTGGACCCTTAAAGCACTCGGATATTGCATGGTTTCCTTAATAATCGTGTTAAACCTGCTTGCGTGAGGAGAGGAAGAGATGTCGACTCCCCAAAATTATGGAGTTAAAGTCAAATGTAGTCCCAATAGTGAAAAGTCTTTATTGGAAATTGAGAGAGTACATGTCGTCGTCTATACTCAATAGTGACGACGGAGGACGCACAAACCTTTATTTGTGGATATCTATCTATTTATGGAGGCGTCTGTGTGGAGGAGCTCAGCCGCCGTACTTGGCCTTGTAGTCGCTCCAAAGCTGGTCCACAGTCTTCCCCAAGAGGTCGACGAAGAAGTCGTCGCTGTATCCGTCCTTCATCTTGGCGTTCAGCTGCGCCACGAAGCCGCTCTTGAGATCGTTGCAGTAGTCGAGGAACCGCGCCGTGACGTCGTAGCCCTGGTCCCACCGGTCTCCGCCGCCGGGCTGAACCCAGTGGCTGGGCGCGTACCCGGCCTTCAGCCTCACGTAGTCGGCGATGCCCTCGATGAGGCCCCCGTTGGCGGCGCCGCGGCCGTCCCACTGCCACACGTGCGTGTCCTCGTGGTACAGCACCCCCACGATCTCGGTCCGTACGTCGCCGTTGTATCCGGCGACGTAGTCGGCGCTGAGGTGGATGGTGTCGCTGCTGGTGTAGGCGACGCCGTCCATGGTCTCGACGATGAGGGTGATGAGCGAGACGTCCTTGCGGTCGGCCTCCGACTGCTGGTCGAAGGTGGTCCAGATGAAGGAGGAGGCGGTGGCCAGCACCTGCTTGCTGTACTCCAGCCCGATCTCGTTGTCGAAGCGGGTGCCGCCGGGGGTGCCCGCCGCGTTGTTGGTGGCCTCGTACTGGACGGCGCCGGCCGCCGAGACCAACAGAAAAGCCACTGCCAACGCTACTGCTTCCATGTCGATAATCCAACACACTTGGTATCAAAATGCAGCAGAGGATGCATGATATTTATACAGAGGGAAGGGGAGAGCAAGAGAGACTCGTTCTCCGATGAATCGTTCAAAGTCGTCGAAGGTGAAGCTGTACGACTCTAGAAATCCATCGATTGCGTTAAACTCTATAATTAGATAGATCATAAGATTGTGGTGCTTATGTTCCTACCCGACGGCATCATTGTCCAAACCAAAGAAGAAGCAGTCAAGTCTTCCGTGGAAGAGTGAAGTTTAAGCAGTCTTTGGCGCACCACTTGTCGTCGACCTCAAAGAACTTAATGACTCTGCCGGCCAAAAACCCGTCCTTGCCGTGGAAAAATCTTCTTTGAACGCTTGTCGTGTGACGAGAAACGAAACCGATCGATCTCAAGTTGATTGTGATTGTGATTGTAATTTGACCGCCCAAGAAATGTTGATGATGCTAAGATTAGACGAGCATAGAACGTTCTCACGTTGGTATGAATATTGAATTGGAAGGATATATGTTAATTCTAATCGATTTAACTTCTTAGTTGCATTAATTTCTAATAATACTTCAATAATAAAAACAAATTAGAGATCAGAGATTTCTAGTAATAGAAATATCATTGGAAGAACTACAGGTAGTCCAAAGTGCTTGTGGAAAACTTGTACAGAGTGGTTTTTGACCCGGAAGAAACCTACCATTCTTATGGAAAAAAATCGTTTTTGACCTGAAAAAAAAAAATATATATATATATATTCTTCTCCTTGTGGAAAAAGAAAATTGTTTGATGTGAATCCGAGATGTATTTTGAGGATCGGAAACCTCTTCACCTTATCGTAGGTGAGTGTTTTTCTTTCTTAAAAGAAAATTTATTTGATCAAATCGAGGGAGGCATAAAGTTTTCCTTCACGATTATAATTTTTTTTTTAAAAAGAGTGTAATAATATTATGATGTCAATGCATGCATGTGTACTCAAAATCAGTTCAAGTAAGAATTATTTTAAATTATTTTATTTAAAATAATTTTATATTATTTTTTTATATATTTTAAAAATATAAAATATTTTTATATTTTTATATTTTATATTAATTATTCTAAAATTTATATTTTTGAAAAAGAGTGTATTTTTTATATTTTTAAATTATTTTAAATTAAAAATTAAATAAAAAATTTTAAATTGAAACAAGAATCGAAATCTAAATTATTCGATGCTATTTTTAAAAATTAAAATCAATCTTAAAAATCGAAACCGATGATTCTATAATAGCATCAAAACTGAGTTGGCATTCTTTAGCCCTCGAGGCAGAGCAACACCGCACCTCTCCCTTGTCCGCTGGAATCCGATCACAGTGAATAATGATAGATGAGCAAAGCCATCTAGCAAAGCTTTCGTTGTGGCCTAAACGATGAAACGTAAATTAGGAGCACGTCAACTCCAATCAGCATCTCTCTTCTCAATCTTGGTTGTATTGAAAGGACGAGCCTCCTCCAGCTCATATGGTGGGCTATACTAAGCTTGCTCTTCGTCTACATATTTTAAGCTTCTCCTTAGGCAAAGACTCTATCAACATATCTAATCTATTCTCATTGATATGTATCTTTTCAAAGTGTAACTTTTTTAATCTCAAATATATCACGAATCTAGTGATATCTAACATCAATATGCTTGGATCTAGAATGATATATTAAATTTTTGAATAGGTGAATAACACTTTGACTATCATAGTAAATAGGATATCCTTCCTATTTCAACCATAATTCCTGTAGAAACTTTTTCATCAACAAAGCTTCATTGCAAGCTTCAGTAATTGATAGAGTAATACAATTATGTAACTTAGACTGTCAATAGACGACTCCCCTATAAATGTCATTAAGAATCTCGAAATAAATTTATTGGAATCAGTATCACCTGTCATGTTTATATCTATGTACCTCTCTAGCACGAGTTCATTACTGTCAAAACATAATCACAATCTAGAAATATTTTTTAAATATCTTAATATCTATTTTACTATTGTCCAATGTTCCTTATAGAAAAATCGATTGACAATTTTAACGACATGAATTATATATGGTCTAGTACAAACAATAGCAGAAGATGCATCATAAATATACGGAGGTAAGGAGAGAGCAAGAGAGACTCGTTACTCGTTCTATGATAAATTGTTCAAAGCTGTCGAAGTCTTTTCAGTATTATTAAGTCCTCATTTCGTATTCCTTCTCTTCGAAGGTGAAGCTGTACGACTCTAGAAATCCATCGATTATGTTAAACTCTATAATTAGATTGACCATAAGGTTTTGATGCTTATGTTCCTATCCGAAGGAATCAATTATTTGTTGGCTTCACCATTCTATACTAACAAGAAGGGGTTGGCGTGTCCAAACCAAAGAAGGCGCAGTCAAGTCTTCCGTGGAAGAGTGAAGTTTAAGCATAGTCTTTGACGCACCAAAAACCCGTCAAAGAAACTTAATTACTCTCTGCCGACCAAAAACCCGTCCTCGGATGCTTGTCGTGTGACAAGAAACGAGATAGGCCGCTCAAGAAATCTCGAGTCGATTGTGATTGTAATTTGATTACGTCAAGGAGGAGACTTCGATGATGCTAAGATTAGACGAGCTGAGAATGTTCTCACTACAGGTAGTCCAAAGTGGTTGTGGAAAACTTGTATGGTTGGCCGGGAAGAAACCTACCATTCATTGTTGTGGAAAAAAACTTAGTTCTTGAAAACAAATATATTCTTCTCCTTGTGGAAAAAGAAAATGAATCTTGATAGAAGATAACATTTTCCTAACTATACGAGGAAATCTTTCTACTTTGTTGAGAAAAATTTTCTGTTGAGAAAAATCCTCTCTCCTAATCTGTATAAATAGGAGAGGGACATGTTAATGTATTCAAGTAAAATTACTTCAATAAAGCTACTTCAATAATTATTTTTATCTTCTATTTTTTTCATCAAATCTAAGATTTATTTTGAGGATTGAAAATTCAACTTAACATAGGTGAGTTTTTTCTTAAAATAAAATTTATTTAATCGAGGAGGTACAAAGTTTTCTTCATTTTATTAAAGATTATAATTTTTTTTTATGTTAAAAATAGAGTGCAATAATAATATTAAGTTGTTTATGGATGAGTATTCAATCCAAAACCAAAGAGACGAGTTGAGTATGATCAAGACTAATGTCATGTTTGACTCGGTGTGAGTCTATTTCAAATTATCCAAGATTCAATCGATAGGAGATTAATGGTATGATATTTGATTTTGTTTTTTTCAAGACTCATGAGAATAAAGGAGATCGTACGAACTTATAAATTCTTGATTTCTCTATTTTTCAATCAATATAAGATTAAATGTCCTGATCAAAATCTATTAAATCTTATCTCAAACATATTTAACAATGGGATAGTATATATATATATAGCAAACGTCAACGTAACAACGCCGCACCTTTTCCCCTGTCCGCCGGAAACCAATCGCAGTGAATAATGACGGGGCGGGCGTGGATCTCTACGAGCAAAGCCCAAAGTTGCACAAAGCCATAGATCCTGTGAATCCATCTGATAAGGCGTCACTCGTAGCATCCTAAACGATGACACGTAAATTAGGAGCACGTCAACTCCGATCGGGCATCTCTTCTCAATCTTGGTTGTACTGAAAGGACGAGCTTTTCTGCAGCAACCCAGCGAAGAGCTAAATTTGCTTCTATGCTTCCGCTTGAAATCAATCCCTCCTCGTTCCCAGTGCTGCAGTAATTGCTGCCGTTTGTCATGTCATCTTCATGGCTAAACACGCGATGAGAGAGAAGAAAACCAAGAGACAAAGCATGCGACAGGAGACTGTAGCATCGGAAAACGTCTGTCTACACGTTGAGATAGTTGATCTGTCCATACATATTACACATAGACACACAAAACTTGATCGGTTATTTCCACCTATCTCATTCTTTCTACCCTTTTATACATGAATTATACCTGTTAATTGGATTCTTCCTCGAAAGGAAGGCTGATGGATCGAATCGTGAAAAATGATATCAAAGCCAATCTATTCCTCCGTAAGCAGAATCTGTTGTTATTTGCATTGATAAGCAGATCATGCATCTTGCTTACTTGTTGCGTTGACAGCCCATCCATAATGGATTTTAACAGCCCACACAATCTACCCTCTTTCAAGTGAAATCCTATCTAATAGGGGGGTGTGGTAGCTACGAAAATTGGGAGAAAACTGTAGAGAGAAAATTGTAACAGCATCTTGATTCAACAAAATAGGAGAAAATGATAGAAAAACAAAAGAAGAAAAGGGAAGAAGACAAGAACAACGTAGAGACTATTCTCAATCATCTAGATAGTATTCTCATCTCACGTTAGATCAGATTTACAATAGATTCTTACTGTAATTATTTACAGAGAATTTGAATATTATGCACAGTGATGTAATCCTTGTATCTCAATTATTCTTGTATGATTATTGCTAAGATTTTGGATAAAAGATTAATATTTATATATTAATTATTTTTATAGTGGATTGTCTCTAGTTTATCCCATAATTTTTATATTAATTATTTACAATAGTTTATCCCATTATTGCTAAGATTTTGGATAAAAGATAAATTTTTCACGTAAATCTTAATATTTTATTTGATTATGATTCCATTTAATTCAGTTATGACCTGCTAGTATTTGTTTATATACATAAATTTATTTATCTTTATCATTACTAACTGATATAAAAAAAAAAAACATTAGCCAGCAACAGCTTCAAAGGTTGGGCCAATAATGGAGTTGAGTTCTTGAGGTAGGCCTCTATTTTCACTTTCATCTGCTAAGATTTGATTCCACTGCCAGAGTGTATGACTAAAGAATTTATCCAATTGTAATCCCTACAACCAAGTCTTTTCACTCACTGCTTGTCTATTCTTACGAGAGAAATATCTGCTTGACATAAGATTCTGAACTCTCCTTGTTGCTATGGTTGGCTTTCTGCAGCTCCCCTGTCATAATCTTTATTCAATATCTGCACTTCTCTTTCTGGGAGGG